ATTTCATTTATTTCTGATATGTTTCACTTTCTGCTTTGTGCTGGTTGGTTTCTGTTGACTTCACACAAACTTAGACATATCTGGGAAGAAGAAATCTTAGCTGAGAGAAATACCTCCATAAGATTGGCCTGTAGGCAACTATGTAGAGCACTCTTCAAATTATTGATGTGGGAGGGCCTAGCTCTTGTGGGAGGCACCACCCTTAAACAGGTGGTTCTGAGTTGCCTAAGAAGAACAGGTGAGTAAGCCAGAAGGAGCAAGCCAGTATGTAAGCAGTATTTTCCCATGACTTCTACTTCAGCTACTGCCTCCCGGTTCCTGCATTAAATTTCTGACCTGACTTCTCTCAGTTATAGATTGTGACCTGTGATTTATAAGATGAAATAAACCATTTTCTCCCCAAATTACTTTTGGTTATGGTTTTTTAATCACAGCAATAGACACCATAGCTAATCTATCCTTCTATTAATTTGGTGTTTAGTTTATTTTTGAAACTTCAAAAGCTCTTTTTAAGAGACCCTGTTGCACCTTGAGTCATAAAATAATGAAGATGTCCTTGAAGTTCCTCCTTCTGGGGAGTGGAAATGCCCCTCATACTGGCGAGGAATAACATGCTTTTTATTAAACCTCAGAGAAAAGCTTTTTTTTAACTCTGGCAATTTATTCACGTGTTTAATAATCTTCCAAGATCAGACGGATTGTGTATGCTCAGGGTGGTATGGCTGTAGATGTGTTTAATAATATATACAAAGTCTAATTGTCACAGCAATTTCAAAGAAAATAAAACAGCCTTTCCAATATATTTGGTATACTATATCTTAATTCTATATAAAATAATTAAGAACTTAATTTCTTAAGTTCTATATAAAATAAAATATAATAATAATTTTGCAAAAAAAATCAATTTTTTTGTTGTGAGTTTCAAGTCCCCTGTTTTCCACCATCAAAATCCTTGAAGTCAACAATTAAAACATTACACCATTGTTTTCCATATCCTTTAACTTCTAGCTTCTAGAAGGCTGCTGTATTCTCACATCAAAAGTGACTTTAAGAAACAAATAATACTTTTAAATAAATCATAATTTACATTAGTTGAAAAATTTTTACTATAAATTTAAATAATTTGAATCTGACTTTAGATGCACTTTTAGGAAATAATTCTCTTAGAAGTTAGACCACATTTTTTTAGATAAGAACCCTTCATTTCTCAACAATCTTACATGAGTCATGAAACCATTACAAACAATCCAAATTCCAGGCTCAGATTGCTACTGGTCCTGTATAATACAGACATGATAAACATCATTTTTTTTTTTCAGAATGGATTGTATTTACAAAGACTGAATAGAGCTTTGGCTTATGCTTATAGAAGAAATCATAGAGATTTCATTAGCAGTATTTCAAAGAAACTGTCATTTCTTATACTTAATAATGGGAAGATCCAAAGTAAAAACTCTGAAGATTCTCTGATTATCCTAAAGTGATTAAAACTGTTTGTTTAAATAACACATGTGATGCTCTCACTGTGATTTAATGAGTCCATCACATGGTAATTTTGACTCAGAATGCTGTTGGTGTGAATGTGATCCATATATTTTGAAGCTATTAGAGTTAAAATATTTTTGCAGTGTTAGGTATGGGTTCCATCTTACGGAACAGGCCTTAAATTTTGGGAAAATTCTAATGCAATATGTTGTAGCATTTGAATTTTTCTGTTTTTTTTCTTATGATTGCATTTGGTACACACTTTGCTAGGGTAAAGACCATGAGACATGATTCGGGTTTCCACATTATAACAAAGGACTTATCACTAATGATCCCCACCAGATTACTCAGCTAAGATAGAATGTTACTATTTTTCATTATCAAATTATTCCTTCTCACCCACTTCTCTTTGGAATTAAGTCACAGTGCATACCTCACACTTGGAAAGTGAGGAATTACATATCACTTTCTAATTAAAGATTCTTCTGCATGGGATATTTTTCTATCTCTGCTCAGTAATTCATTTAAACATTACATCAACATACCCTCATAATATTTAGAAGGAGTTATAATCCAATTCTATCTCTCTTTGCTGCTCAAGTGCTGTGGATTTGCCCAACTTGTGCTCCTTCAATAGTTTGTTTTGATTGATAGATCAATTAATTAATTCTGTTCTGTATTTTTCAGTTCTATAAGATGCTCTGACTTCCTCTTGACTAGTTCCTGCATTTAGTCCTAGAATCAGCCAGTTCTCTACAAATCCTAGTTAACTATTTTTAGAAACTAAGTTCTAGATTCTGAATATACTTGGCTATTTAATTTTAAATCCCAATCTCTTATGACCTTCCTGGAAATTGTTTAAATGTGCTTGTGAATTCATTGAGCAAACTGTGCTCAGTGCTGAGCCTTATGCTCAGGCTAGGGGACCTGGATGCCACCTACATGATGTCACAGTTTCTCTCTGGACATCTTGCTGCCCTGATTCCTAGAATTAAATTATAATCCTCATTTCAAAGTCAAGACTCCAAGAAGTACAGATGCACACATGGGGATGGCTCTTTGTTTTGATTGTGAATATTTCTGAGTCAATGTACCAGTACTGAGACATAAAGAACTTGGATTATTTTAGTCAGGCGTGAGGATGAAGCACCCACAGAACACATGTGTAGTATCTACTTAATACAAACTCATTAAAATATCTTTAAATATCAGAGTACAAGGAAATATCTACTTTTCCTCTGTCCCTCTGGTATATATCCTTCATCAGACAAGGGAGGTGACCATGGTGATGAGAAAGAATAACATAGAGCAGCAAGGGACTTTGAGATGAAATTGGGTATATGCACACACTATGTATTGTGTGATAGATTTTTTTTTTCTGAAGAGCTGAGACATACACATGTCAGCTTATCCCAAGAAGAGAGCCCCTGACAGACCAAAGCATTAATTCTAGCAATGTCAAATTTGGTGGACCAATGACTTTGTCTATTGGGCTTACTAACAAGAGTATGGATGAGGGGTTACAAGAACCAGGGATTACACAAAAGCAGCTGTAACATCAGAAAGCTTACCCTAGCATGGCTGATGACTTCTGAAACTGCAACCCTGGAGCTTTCTATGCAGCCTACAAGCAGATTCACAGTCTGGATGTCTATGGCTGGTGAGAATCTTCATTCCCAACAACTGTTTACTCCCATTTACATTGTTGGGTAAAGGCCCTCAATAATCTTTTAAGTTTCATTTTTTTCCTCTTCACATGTGACTTTTGGTAACCTTTAGTTTATCTCCTGGGGCTCACGAGCCTCCTATTTCCTCTTGCAGAAAATATTACAGTTCTTAGGGAATGCTGCAATTTGGCGAAACATGCCATTCAACACCATATACATACATATATTCACATCTATATGTCAAAGGATATGCATCCTCACAAATGTTTTAGAACATCAAAATTTGAAAAGGAACAATACCTTCTCAAAATTTGTACCCTACTTTAAAATCCAGCTGATAGGAAACTGGACAGTGGATTATAGCTATTTAAATCATAAAAGCCATTTGACTACACTGAATATTTCTATTATAGCACTGATAATTATCAGAGTCAAAAAGATAGTAAATTGAATTCATTAAGTAATTAAATAAATTTTGGGTTAATTTTTCTCCAAAAATTCCAAATAAGATTTTTACCTAAATAAATATAACTAAATACCATTCTTTTTGAAATTTAACTCTAGAGTTCTTTATGCATGTTCAATACTGCTTATTTTAATGTTGAAAATAATAAACTGTGAAAATAAAATTAGAAAAGTTATTTTTGTAGAAAATGATTTTTTGGTTGTAATTAGTTTTAATATATGATATAAATATTATATATTTAGGAACTCAGAGAAAATTATATGCTTAGAGAGTTTTAAGGAGTTGGCCAAGAAGGCAGAAAGCTGAAAGGTTTTAGACAATATCATATGTTAGCAGTGAGGTTGAAACAGGACCAATAACGTATAAATTTTCCTTTTACCAATTCAGGCAACTTTGCAACTTCAAAAAGTCTATTTTAAATGAGATGAGGCCAGATGGCAACCGAAGAGAAATATTCCAGTAGGGCTGATGGGTAAAGGTGTTAAAGGAATGAACTATTGGATAAATTCCAGTTCAGCTCAGCAAAGTTCATATAAAATTAGATAAGTTGTAGCAATTCCAGTTAGACAAAGTGACATTCTTAGTTTTTATAATATAACCTTATTTTAATTAAACAAACTTTTAGCCATATCTCCCCTTAAAAATAATATCAAAGCTTTCCTAAAAACCTCACTACTATTTTAAATTCATATTTTTCAAAGCTTTGGACATTTTTTTCCTGCATCTTTTCTAAAAACATCCATTATAAAGCAAATGCAGCATTTCATTGACTGAATCTTTAAAAGGCAATAAGCCAAGTAATACGTTACATTAAACAGGGATTGCTCCATGAAAAATACTGCAGATTCAGACGACAAACTGCTTGTGTCTCCATAATGTCAGAGTGTTTTATGAACTGGCATGCTAAAATTCAATCTAAAATATATTGACTTATAGTACTGAGACTCCATGAAAGCAACACATTGCTCAAAGTTCAGTTCTAAAATGTCTGGGAGCTAGGCCGCTCTTGAGTGAGCTTTCTCATGGTAGCATTACTAGCAAATGCTTCACACCTATACTTTGCCAAACCCTGAATACAAGTCGTATGCTGATTCTGAAAACCGCCCAGGTATTGTTTACTAAATTCTCAAAGCTTGAACAAAAACCCTAAGAGACCTCAGACAACCTGGGAACAAGCTCCAGACAAAGACAAGATAGCAGAAATCCAAAACATCTGTTTCTACAGTATACCAGTATGTTTAGCTTTTTAAAAGTCTTCTACCACACATTCTCATTACAATATGCCATCCTATTCAGACTTCCGTGTGGATTCATCTGTCTGAGTCATTGTCTCTGAAACAACTCAATTTCCTCAAGCTGTAGATGGGCCTGAAATTGCTTACCTGACTCACAAGCAAATGTCTTTGACGTTTCGTCATGAAAGATAATTGCCACTGCATGCTTCTTTGTCTCTCGAGGCAGTCTGGTTATATTTTTGATGTTGTGCAGTTCAGTTACCTTGAAAGAGAAAAATATTTTTTTCTTTTTACTTTTGAAATTCTGGGGATAAGCCCCCAGAGCCTTGTATATACTAAGCAAACATTCTATCACTGAACTACCTCTCCAATGAGATAAGATTTTTATTTTAATGTATAGTGTATATAATACATTTCAGGGCTTTAAACAAAATGGCCAGTTATCGCTACCTTATGCCCTTAAGCACTTTCTGATAGGTCATATTACTAAGTTTGAATTGACTCTATCTACTACCAGTAAAGAACAAAACATAATGTCTTCCATTAGGCCTTCAATTTTGGTCATCATTCATATTGGTTGCCATATTTGAAAATAGTCTAATGATCATGCAGAATAGTTTCATGGAGGCTGTGCTGTTATTAAACTTGCATCCACAGAAAGCAATAACAATTTGATACAAAGAGAGTTCCATTAAATATGTGTTGAATATTGATGAGATTTAGCAAGAAGTCTCTCCTCTAATACCTTCCAATCATACAGGTTCCAGACAAGACTAAGCCACACAGCATCTGACACCTGCCTAAATGATAACTCAGAAGTTTAGTGTTTTGACCTTCCAGTGTTTAAAAGAATAGTTTTTGGAATTTGTGTACCAATAATTTTCACAAGCATGAATCTGAAAGACAAAGAGCTAATTATTGTTAGCTACCTGGTACCAAGAGCACTGAAGGAGCTTGAGAATGAAATTTCAGCCCAAGGTCTGGTTCTAATATCCAGATTCCTGACTTCTATAGTTATTGGTCTCTAGAGTCAGATCAATGTAAGGAGTGTTTTCTTTGATAAAGAAGTATCTTTTGACTCACTTGTATAACAAACAATGCTTTCACTTTATTTTGTATGCTTAAACTATTTTGAAGAAAACTTGAACTTTTCTTCATGTTATGTTTTTCTTGTTTATTAATAAATTTTGTTATTTGACAGTTTTCACATGTACATAGTGCATTCTGATTACTCTTCCATCTCTATTATATTTTAATAACCACATTATTAGTGTGGAAATGGGCATTTCCATGTTTAGGTTTGATAGTATGTCTAGGATCTTGAACTTGATTTATACAATATTGATGACATCCTAATGAGCTGATATTAGCTTCCATCATTGCATGAAAGGAAAGAAACTTGATGATCAGAGGATATAACTGTCCTTTACTACACAACCTACTAAGCAGGTGGACCAGGTCTGGTTCTAATGTCCAGATTCCTGATTTCTCTAGTTATTGGTCTCTAGAGTTGGATCAATATAAGGAGCATGTTCTTTGACAAGGACCTCTCTTTTGATTTACTTGTATAACAAAAAATACTTTCACTTTATCATACATGCTTCAACTGTTTTGAAGAAAACTAATGAAAGGAAAAAAAACCGAATTCCATTTATAATTTGGAATCTATTAAGCTCAATAGGGCTTAGAACTATTAAACTTAGAACTATTGAGATCAATTGTGCTTTATGGACAATGCATACACATATTTCATATATTTCAAAATTTCTTCCCCATATTTGAAGATAACACTGCTAACATTGATTAGGGTTCCATAGTATAGCCCAGTTAAAGTGATCGATTCCTGAATAAAACCTGCACTTATATCATATAAAATAACATGTACAAAATAAATAGATGTAGTTATTGTTTTAAAAGGGTTATAGTCTACTTTCCATCTATTCTTTGAAGATTTTTAGTGGCCACATGCAACTCTTGGACTGTCACATCCAAGAGAATTCTTACATATCATTATTGACATTTGCTTTTCTCTCCACTTGTCATCCTAAGATTAACATGCAACATTAGAATGGTACAATTAGTTATTTCAGGTATAATAAAGTTGTCTTTATATAAAAGCATGTATTTGTATGTGTATATACACATTCCATCATCTACTTATGAATCTTCTACCTATCATCTATCTGAAAGTAGTTTCTCTTCTAAGTGAGAAGAACTGCACCCAAATATCTTTTAATTTCTGATGAGTAACATCCTTTGGAGAAAGATGAACATTCTTTTTTGGAACTGTGACAAACATATTTTAATCACACCAAGGCATTTTCTCAAATAAAATATAACTCTTGAATTTTTAAATGATGCTTAAACCCAATGTTATTCTAAGACAATAGATTGAAGTTATGTTTGAAAAGAGATATTATTTCCAAACATTATTAACTTTGCCTAAACAAATATTATTATCAAACCTGAGTCTAAAAGCAATGATGAATATATTTTGCTTAAGAATTAATGTAAAGTGTGAGTAAAAAGGTCATAATCTGCTAGAGAGTTAAATAAAATGTCCTACACATAATAAACAAATAATATTAAAAAACACATGTCAGTAGTCTTTCACAGACACTTTTATTTACTAATGTAGAATAATACCAGAAAAGATATTACAGACTTCATTTTTTGTCATCATAACAAAAATCAACAAATTCAAGTAATAAGCAGATTTGAAAACTGTCCTGTGTACTAAAGAATGCCTAACATCAGTGCTCAGGCAATCTGACAGCTGATATAGTTCAAAGTACTTTCTCTACTTGAAAATTTACATTTAGAAATACCGAGAGCCTTTGTAAGCAGATCCCGTTTCTAGGGCTTTTGAAATAAATCAGGATTTTGGTTGTGGGTCAAAACCATGATGACTTAACCTCTTTCGTTTAAGAATTTAAAGAGATGACAAGAAAGAAAAGCACTAATGAGGAATATAAAAATCCTACTTTATAAAAGCTTCGGAATTCTAACTGTAATATGTTATAAAAGCTTCTGAATTCTAGGCCGGGCGGTGGTGGCGCACGCCTTTAATCCCAGCACTTGGGAGGCAGAGGCAGGCGGATCTCTGTGAGTTCGAGGCCAGCCTGGTCTACAGCACGAGATCCAGGAAAGGCGCAAAGCTACACAGAGAAACCCTGTCTCGAAAAACCAAAAAAAAAAAAAAAAAGCTTCTGAATTCTAACTGTAATATTTTTCACTATCAATATTATCTAGATTTACCATATTGTACTCAACTGTATTTACTTAAAGGAGGTCAACTTTTAAAATAATTTCTAGTGCACCAAAATAAAAATGTTTCTATTATCATACTAAAACCTGTCAATGCAGCATAAAAATAATTATGAGCAGTCATTAAATTTGTGAAATCTTGGACTTTTCAATCCTAAAATCAATATTTTTTCATTATTTAAAAATTTCATATTTATTTCTGAAAATTAATTTGTTATTAGATTTCTATGATGGCATAATATATTGTACTTTAAATAAACAAAGTTAATATGGAACTGAAAGTAATTCAAGTTACTTAGGTCTCAAAAGATGTAATGGTCAACAATTTAAGATATTTCGATTTGACAAATGCCAGAACCAACACTTAAATATAAAATATGTAGGTGAAGTTTTTTTGTTTGTTTGTTTGTTTTTGTTGTTTTGTTTTTTTTTTGTTAACTGATGTTATATTATTTTTATTTAGGTGGTAAGCCTTAGTAATTCATGGGCTTAAATACACATATGTCAAAGGTGAAAGATTTTTCTTGGAATATATAGAAGACAGTGCATACTCCTTTTATAGAAGACACAATTTTGACTACCAGAATTTTGACCACATTAGATAGGTCATAACCTCTAAATAACTCCAGCTTCTGGGGAAGATTTGCATTAATTTTTTCATCGTGTGAGGATTTTGTGCATGAATGCAGTTTGTTTTGAGGAAATCTAACTATCTCAACCCTCAACCTTCTCCAACTCACCTCTCCCTATTTAATGTGTGACTTCTTGTGTGGCAATATCGCAGGCATGACACTTAGGGTTTAAATAATAAGTGAAATGAAAAAGAAAGACAGCCTCAAATTATACCCTTTCATCCAAATCAATTCTTATCAGCATATATATATGTATATGTGTATGTATATATATATGTATATATACATGCACACACATATATAAATGATATCATAGTACATATTAGATATTAAACTTTCTCATGTATTTATATGTTTAAAAGTAGTAATAACCTCATTTCATGGTGAAGAAATGGCATTTTAAAAATAGAATATTTCCCCAGTAATGTGAGTGTCCTTTTATTTTTGCAAAACTCTTAAAAGTCTATCTTGTTCCACAACAACTTGATACTCTTTTCTGCTTCTGAATCCAGGCACTTTTAATATGTTATTTATATTAAGTATAAGTAAGTATATGTAAGGTCTCACAAGTTATAGAGTTATAAAACTGAAGATTAAATGAAGAACATTTGAAGTCTACTGTAGCTACTGCTCTTGGATTTTGCCTATAATTAACCCAATGTTTTTCTAAGGTTATAGCTGTAAGGAATCTGAATCATGTTAAATACTTCCTTATTCTCCTAGATCAAACCTGATAAATCAATTTTCAATTTTCATAGGTGTTTTAGTCATTATGGTTTTATATCAACTAAGTCTGGTCATTAAAATGATACAAATTTACCAACTTGAAAATATTGACACTTTATTTTATAGCATAAAAATTCATTATTCTTAGCCGGGCGGTGGTGGCGCACGCCTTTAATCCCAGCACTCGGGAGGCAGAGCCAGGCGGATCTCTGTGAGTTCGAGGCCAGCCTGGACTACCAAGTGAGTTCCAGGAAAGGCGCAAAGCTACACAGAGAAACCCTGTCTCGAAAAACCAAAAAAAAAAAAAAAAAAAAATTCATTATTCTTACTCAATATTTTCAGAAAATTCTGTAAGTTTTGAGTTGTCAAGCTCTATAATATTGGTATCATGTTTCTCATATTTTAATTATCTTTTGAAAACTCCTATTTTCATATTTTTTTCTATAAATATATTCCTTTGTTTCCGTGGAAGATGAATTTAAATGGGTCAGCTTGAGCAAAATTAAGACAAATCCCACAATCAGTGTGACCATAGTTTGTCACTCACCCCTTGATTAACATGGGTGTTCTTGTTCATTTTTATGAAGTGACTATTCTGTTGTGATTTCAACAAATATACCAGTGCTCCTATGTACTC